TTCAATTTCACTCATTCAACCTGGTGTTATTTAATTACTGATGATGACGCACGCAGTGATTGCAGATGAAAGCAAATTCGAATTTGTTTGTGAAGAGAATAAATAAAAGTGTCGCATTCACTGAGGGTCTCAAAGGGGTCCGTTAATTTGATACCTAGAGTATTTGTCCACCGGAATCACTCCCCATGATTTTTTTCCATGTGATTCATTGTCACTCGGAAATAATTTCCACTCAATAAACCACAGACGATCCGAAAGAAAATATCGTTCAGGCATAAATATTAGATATTAATTAGGATATAATTAATATCCTAATTATATCGAATCCTTGATTAATGTGAAATTGTTAGGAATAAATGAGGATCGAGTGGGGCTTTTAAAATAGTAGATATTTTACAATTCTTTGTGAATCTTCTGGATATCTTTCCTGCGACGGAAATAAACATGAAGAGTATTGAAATACATAATTCTGCAGACCGGTTTTTGCTCTGGTACACACAGTACACGAGTTGAACTCGCGTCTGAAAGAAGTACCGTAAACTTTATTATCAATGTCATCTCCATCTTGATGCTTTGTTCAATTGAGGAGCTGTTAATTGTCAGGACAAGCTTAAATTTCCATCGCAACATCTAGCATTTCCTCGGATTAATATTCATCCAGTTAAATCTCTTTCCCTTTCTGTCTCACGCATGTCACGCGATTTAATAAATAAAATAAAATTCATTAACACGGGTGAATGTGTAGAATTTATTGTTAATGTGGAAATATTCTGATTTTGGACTTTCTATTATTTTTAGTTGATGAATTTCCTCTTTTCTTTTTGAATCGGTGAAAATAGAAATTTCTAGTTTCATTGTTTTTAATGAGCCATCACTCAGGTGAATTTCACTTCTCGAATTGGGATGCTGGGGACAACGGGGGTTTGAATGGGAAGAGGATCTAGCCTTGATCCAGTTTGTTTAATTGACCATCAACTGGTCCATTATTTGCCCCTCGGAAATCTTTCCCAGCTGGGCACGAGGGCAGCTGACATTTCTACCAATTCTCAGCTTGTCATAAAATGGAATATTGAATCGACCCTGAAGCAAGATGAAAATCTTGAGATGTAAACATTATCTGTCCCGCCTTCCGAAGACAAAGATTCATCTGCTCCCATAAAAATTTAACTACTCATTTAATTTATTATTTGAAATTCATTTGCAATTAATTATTCAATCCTCCAATATTTTTTTTGTAAAATTATACGGATTGTTCAATGGTGAAAAGATTTTTATTCTATTTTTCTTGTAGAACTTCTCATCACTTAATTAGGCTTTTCGATTAATTGATTAATTTTTGTTCTCACACGCAAGGCGTTGACCCAGTTTTGATGACCACGAGGGATTAAAAAATTCAAGTTGATGGAATACTTTGAAATGACTCTCATTATTTTCCAGCGACACACCTAAATTTTTAATTAACAACGAGAATTTAATCTCCCAAATTCAACCCGACAATTGCACTCCCCGGAATTTTAAAAATTAAATTTTTTAATTCAAATGTCAATTGATCAAAAAAAAAAACCTCATCCTTATCCGTAATAAAAAACACTTGAATATTTCCATAAAAAATGGCTAGTTTAAACAATAAATCAATAATTTCCAAAAATGCTTGATTCCAATTAAATAATAATTATCATAATAATAATAAAACAATTGCGATGTAAATGGAATATTTCTGTGAAATCCGGGGAAAAACATTTCGCGAGATTTAACGAATTTTAAATATTTTTATCAAT